TAACAAAACTCGCTAACCGCATTAAAAGGTGTCCCTCTGATCCCTTACCCTGCTCAATCTGCTGCTCAGCTTTCTGCTCCTAGCCCTGTGCTCCCTGCCTGATTTGCTGCTCTGCTTTCTGCTTCCTGCCCTAGCTGGAACTGTGCAACCGCTCCGCTCCTCTCCTGTATGCTACACAGAGGCTGCCACTTGTGACACCCAAGCTGGTTACCCCTGCTCTAGACCACTGTTGTTTGCATGGGGCTCTGGAACTAATCTGGACATTATTAACACTTAGTATTATCTCTATACTTACTTGTTAATGATCCTTTGTGATTCTGATTTGTAGTCAGAGTGGACAGATCTCCAGTACTGGTTGAAAAACCTGTAAATTAGGAAAATATATTCTGTTGATTTATACAGTGTACTCCCATTTATATAGACATGGATAAGTGCATTGTTTGCTTAACTGTATAACAATGCCTGTCCCAATTTGTTGCCTATTATCTGTTATTAACATCTATTACTGGTTAAGTGCATAAGCCACTTAAATCCATAGCATCTTTCAGTCTGACTATTTTATAACCTAAATTGTACTCGGAGCAACTGCACCAGAAAACAGTAAAGGGGAAACAGCTGGCAACAGGCTATTTTCAGAAGCCTCAAAAACAATGGGACTGACTCGGTCTCAGGGCTCCTAATACTGCAGCATCGACAGGACTGTAGACAATGCTCCTTAAGTACACAGCACTGTCCATGCTGTGGAACTGGCAGCCCTGAAGTCACTAGCTCCCACCATTTTCAAAGTTTCTAATAGCTACTTCTGGGACACTTATTAGCAACCTTGCAAATGTGGGAAGTGAATCAGTTTTCAGGGCTGCTAATTTGAGTAATACGGGGAGCATCTACATGCAGAGCCGACCCTAGGCAGGTGCAGGGTGTGGGGCAAATCAGCCTGTGCGGGGCCCCTTTAACACTGCACAGGGCTGTGGGACCCCTGCAAAGGCATAGCTGTAGCAATGACGTTTGGTGCATGGGGCCAAGCAGATCCTGTGTGCCCCTGACGAGCCACTCTTCAGTGGACGTGATGCTGGCAGCACGCAGCAGGGTGGGGGGTGGCATCAAGTGGCTGGACGCTTCATCTGCTGCACGGGGCTGAGCCACCAGCTCCAGGCGGACCCTGCAGGAGGGGCTGCGGCAGCTCTGCGGGACCCTGGGCAGTTGCCCCAATTTGCCCTACCCAAGGGACAGCTCTGTCTACGTGAGACATTTACTGTGCAGTTGACTAATTAATTGTGCAGTAAACACCACAGTGTCTACACATGTTCCTCTATTAGGGCACAGGAAACTAATAAACTCTGCAGCAGGGTAGGACTTGTAAATACTGCAGAGTGGGGTTTTTTTTGTGTGTGTGTGTGTGCAGTAGCACACATTTAGATGCTGAGCTGGCTGCCTGGGGCATGAGGAGCTACCTGCTGGCTAATCCCACACTGAAGCCCCCTTGTGCCCCAGCCAGCCCCTTTGCAGCATGTTGAGCCCAGTTGAAGCACCCCCAGGTTGGCAGGTTGCCCCCCGGGGCCTCCTGGCAACCAAAGCTGCTATGACCCAGCTCACTGTGTTGTGGTCCAGGCACAAGTCTAAGCCATGTGCCTGCGAGCTTCACAGCACCAACAAACTACAGAGCAATAAACTCTACAGTTTATTGCTGCGCATTAATTGCTCGTGTAGATGTGTTCACTGACAACTAGTATCCTTAAGGAGGATTGAGTGTTCATTATCTGAAGTCAGTGCCCATGTTCTGAGTTAAGTACACAGCCTTTTTCTCACCCTTAATGCTCTGTAGTTAAAGTACCTTGTCATAATAAGCATATGCTTATCATAGGGGTAGATAAGGTCTCAATAGGAAAGCAAAATCTTTGCTAAAAAGCATATATTTTTGTAGCAATTCATTTTTATTTAGGCCAGTTGCTGGTACTTTCTGTGCATTGTGTAGTGGAAATCAGTGGGCTCAGGAAGTAAGGTACTATTTGCACTTAAATTGGCTCTTAAAGAACTTGACTTACCTCTGAGTTTCAATTCAAAGTATTTCTCTATACAGCGATGAGTTGCTAGATGAGTAACCTCACATATGAGAGAAGTTTTATTGTCAGATGCTTTTGGAGAAAATCGTAGTTTGCTCACATAGAAACATAAACCATTTCTTGCAATTTGAGGATTTAGGGCATTGTCTTCCTGTAACTTCGTCCAGTCTTTATACCATGTAACTTTTATATCCTTGGGTGCAAAATCAGATATGCAAGTTTCAAGACAGACGGTCTCATCAATGTTTGGTTGGGCAGGAGTTGCTCTTATTTCAGAAACAGTAGGAGACCTTGCTAAACAGAAGGGCAAAGTTTCCATTAGGAAGACCGAGATAAGATACGCCTGGTGAAATATATTAGTGTGATTATCAGGGAGAGGAAAAATTGAACCAAAGGAGAAGCATTGAAGCCAGTAGTGAATAAAGGGGGACGGGACAAAAAAATAGCAATTGCCACCACTGCTGTCCCAGCCACTATCATTGCCCCAACCAGCTCAACCCCTGCCACAGCTGTCAAGCAGTGTGCAGACCATGGTAATTATGCCTCTGACACTTTTTTTTTCCTGTGTCATTGGGCACCTGGCCTTGATCCTGTGTAAGTCAACTGCAATATATTGCACATTTTACAGCAGTGACACTCAATCCTGTGGCCCTGTGAGCCAGATAAGTGGTGTGGTGCTGGCCCACAGGCTGGATCAGATCCTGTGTACCAGATCAGGCCCATATGCCCATCTCAGGCCCCACGCTGCCCCAGCTGGGCCCTGTGTGCTGCGATCAGGTTGTGCGCCAGGATTGGGCCCTGAGGCCCTCCACTATCTCTGTGCAGGCCCTGGGACCTCGTGCTGCCTCCACTCAGCCCTGTGCACTAAGATTGGGCCCTGCACTGCCCTGCACACCCAACCTAGCATGCAGGGCCATGGCCTGTGGGTAGGATGATGGGGCACTGGAGGACAGATTTGGCCTATGGGCCAAGGGTTGAGAACCCCTAGGTTTAAAGTACTGAGATAAGCGGGGGGATTCAATCCTGTATTAAAGAGAGTTGTGCCAACAGGTTATTTCTCCCTGGTGGCAGAAGTAAGGCCCTATAATGCAATGTACTACTAAATTCTTTGTTAGCACACTGATGATTGTGACTGAACAAATCTCAGACCAGCACCCATTTTCAGCCTGAAGTAATCTACTGCGTAGTAAAGCATCACCATCTGTGCGTACACAGCATTTATTGTGCAGTAAATTAGTCTACTGTGCAGTTGGCTATTATCTATAGATACAGGCGGTAGATTTACTGTGCAGCAACTACTGCACAATAGCACACATGTAGACTGCTGACTGGGAGCAAATTGCTCCTAGTCAGCCCAGGCAGTAGGGGGCTGGGACACAGTCCCCAGCCCCAGGCAACTGCCTGCTTCCCAGTCCCTGATTTGATCAGCAGATTGGAACGGAGGCTGGGGAGCAGGCAGCAGCCCAGGATGGGGGACAGTGTCCCAGCCCCACTCTGATCTACTGATGAAAATGGGGCACAGAGAAGTAGGCACCTACCCAGGGCAAGGGACTGCTTACTAGCCCCAGCACCTGCCAATCAGGGCGCAGGGCTGGGAGGCAGCTACCCCGGAGGTGGGACAAACTTGCACCCCACTGGCCAGACAGCAGGGAGCAGGAGATTGCAATCACTATCCCTGAGCGGGGGCACGGAACAAAGCGGGGCCTGGGAGCTCCCTGCTGCCAGGGCAGGAGGACATTTTCCCCACCTGGGCTCTGGTGGCCGAGCCTGCCCTGGCAGCAGGCAGCTCCTGGGGGCAGGGAGCAATCTCCCAGCTTTTGCTCTGTGATCACGATTGCAGAGCTGGAGAAAGGAGCTCTCTGTATGAAGAGAGTTCTCCAGCCAACCTGGAGCTGGCTTGGACCTGCCCTAGACTGGGACAGTTCCCAGCCAGCCCTGGGCTGCACAGGGAAGACTGCATGTGCAGCCTGCAGCTGACAAGGAACTGTCCCATTTTGGGCAATACCCAGCCAGTTGCACATGCAGACTTCCCTGTGCAGCCTGGGGCTGGCTGGGAAATGTCCCAGTCTTTCTTGGACAAGTCCCAGCCCTGCAACTTTTTCCCAGCCTTCTGCCCCTATTGGCCAATCGAGGCATGGGGCTTGGAAGGGGCAGGTCCCAGCCCCCTGCTCTAAGCTGCTGGTGGGACAGCTAGCAGTGAGCCCTCAGCTGGGTGGGGATTCCCCACCCAGCTGGGGTAGCTCACTGCTAGCTGCCCCACCATAATCTTGGGGTAGGGGGCTGGGACCTGCCCCTCCCCTGCAGCTCCTTCCAAACCCCCTTCCCCTGATTGGAGAGCAGAGGCCAGGAGCTCCCTGCTACTGAGGCAGGGGAACATTGTCCCCACCCAGGCTCCACTACCAGAACCCACCCCAGCAGCAGGCAGCTCCTGGGGGCAGGGAGAAATCTCACAGCACCAGCCAGAAGATGGCTGTCTCCTGGCCCTGTGCTCTCTGCCATTCCCTGGGCTACAACCCAGTGGGAGCCTACGGCTCCTGCTGGCTGCTGCAGAGGGCCACTGCAGGGCCAGAGGGGGCTGGATCAAACTGCTACCAAGAGCAGCAAATCTGCTTCCAAATGCCTGCCCAGGATAGATTTACTCCAGAGTAGATTACTCTGGAGTAAACCCATGCAGCAGCATTTGCATAAGTAGATGCCCCTAGTAAGCATAAAGTGAATTAATAGCATGCATAGATCTGGCCGGAGGGTGCATCTGCACGTTAAATTAATACCAAGCAATAAACTCCGGTGCTTATCATGCTGGAGTTTTTTGCTTCTGGGTACCATGGCGTCATGTGCTCCCAAAACTACAGCACGTTGAACTGAGCTGCAGCAGCTTCAGCTGGCAGGGGCCCTGATGGTCAGCCTACCAGGCTGAAGCTGCTCTGACCCAGCTCGACAGGCTGGGGGATCAGGTGTATTTACAAGTACAAATCTGTGGCAGAGTTAATTAGTTTCCTGTGGCCTAATAGGGCCACATGTGTAGACCTTGAGACTTTACTGCAGAGCTAATTAGGCAGCTCCACAGGAAATGTCTCGATGTGCCAGTGGGGGCATTTATATTATGCACCACTGTGAACCAGGGGGTAGGGGGGAGGGAGAGCAACTCCCAGGCTGAAAGAGGGTCTGGGGCGTCAGCCCCAGGCTCTAGTTGGTGGCATCAGGCAATGGAGAGGTTGGCTGAGGCATGAGGGTGCTAAAGTTCGGGGCTAGGCAGTAGGCTGCCCCTGCATTTCAGCAACATTGTGCCCCAGCCATCCTCTGTCACCATGTATATGTGCATTTTGGCACACAAGAAATCAATTGTAAAATAGTACTGATGGAGATAATACTATCTGATGATAGAGTTAGTTAATTTACTGTATCCCAATTCTGGTGCACGTGTGGACAGTGACACTTTACTATGGAGCTAATTAGTCTTCTCTGCAGTAAAGTGCACATGTAGATGGACCCAGTGAAAATGTTCTTCTTAGAAATGATGCCTCAGGAAAACAGAGTTTGGGGGTCATGTGGTCAAATTAAACATAATATATCTGATAAAAACACTAACAGGCTGCTGAAATGGTGAAACCCAAACATTTCATGAGAGAGGGGAACATTCTTTGGGGGGGGGTTGTTTTTTGTTTGTGTTTTTGTTTTGTTTTGTTCTTTAATATAGATAAGGCCTGAAAAAGATAGTCTTTCCTCTTAACAAGTTTAACATAAAAGCACCTCAGATTCTTCTCCCATTTGGAATTCAGAATTTCTAGATAAATAAATATAACATCATAACCCCCCCCACCCCCCCAGCTAAATTCAGTCAGGATTTATCTTAGTTTTGTTGGTCACAATCCACATAGGGAGTTCCAGAGGCAAAAAAGTTTCCAAATGGAGATGTCTGCTTGAAGTGTTGTATGCACTAGTGGTATATCAAAAAGTAGCGAGAAGTGGGGTTTAGGCAAGATCTCTTAAGCTGCCTCCACTGTTGGGCTGCTATAACACCTAAACTTGTACTTGGAAGGAGGGGGAAGGAGGAAGTGGGGAAATGAGAGCAGAAACATTTTCTGCCCTCTTGTGGGGTGACTTCCTGTCATAGGGAGATAGAATTTAGTGCATCTGGACTGTCCGTTACCCACAAATATATTTTTCCTTATGGTCTATCCAATATTACTCTATCATGCACTAAAGTGAAAGGATCCAATGATTTCATATACATACCTGGGAGGTTTAGGAACGTGCATTTTGTAATGGACTGTGTCAGAGTCTCATGCTTCACTCTGAAGACAATCTTTTTGCCATAATCCAAAGCAGTGGGAGTTAGGTCAAGTTTACAAGATGTGTGGAAACAACCTTTTGAGTCCTGCTTTAGGTCCTCCATGAATGAATCACTCCTGATTTCATCCTCTTCCTTTAACCACTGGACCTGAATATCCTTGGGATAGAAATCCATCACTTCACAGGTTATAGAGAGTGGCTCTCCATATTTCACATCATTTGGATGAGAAACAGGACCTGTAACCTTTGGAAAACCTGCAGAAGGTTGAAAAGTAAAGAAATATGTTCATCAAGGAAAAAATAAAATATAGATATGCTATAATATGTGTCAATATTGGAGACATGCAGAGGAGGATGTAAAAATTAATCAAACAGACCTTATTGTTGCTAAGCTAATGATTCTGAAAGACTGAAAACTATGGATTAGCATTACCAAAGATTTATGAGACAGACTCTTCTTTTGGTGGATCTAATGACAAGACAGCTAAATTCCCAGCTTCGCATATAAGCATCTACACTATCTTACTGATTATTCAACTCTCTGCTTTTCTCATTAATAACTCCTTTACCTTTTTTTAATAAAGTATAGAGAGATACTTCATATGCTTATTCTTTAAAAAGGCATTGGCAGGGAATATAACTTCTAAGAGATGTTGATTCTTTCTTGTTGTTCAGAAGCTTGAAATGTAAGGCTGAGATTTTTCAAGTCCATGTAAGGGACTTGGATGCCATATTCCTGTTAAAACTCATGAGAAATTTGGTTTCTAAATCCCCTGGGAAGCTTTGAAATTCCCAGATTAATTCTGGCTTTAGTAACTGCGTCTACACAAGACACTGACTGTGCAGTGCATAACCAAGTACTAAATGAGTGAGTAATAACTGGCGTTACTGTGCAGTAGCATCCTGACACAGTTGCCTAGTGACATTTACTCTCTGCACATAAGACATCCCTCCCTTAAATGTGTGAGGCTAGGGTCTCTGGGGTTGGGAGAATTGAGCTATTATTTGGAAAAGCTTGGGGAACTGCTGCTCTTCCTAGTATTTCCCTAACATTAATGGTCTGATGTCCATGTGAGAGTTAATCTGATCCAAAATGTATCAATTTCTACTCTAGGTCAGTGACCTCTTGTACAGTGTAAATTAGATCAAAGGAGAGCACATAAATAACTTGCCCAAAAAGAGCTAGTTAGTCACCTTTTAACATGAGAGGATAAGCTTTTCTTATAGTTCTGCTGAAATGGGTAACTTCAATATAGTATGTGACTGCATGGTCCTCTGGCTGAGGCATAATTGTGATACGACTTGCTTTATGATGCAGGTTTGGTGCTGTATTCTGCTGGATGTCCTCCATTTTAAATGCAGCATTGCCAAGTTCTTCAAAGTCTCTTATCCAGCGCACCTGACACTCTGCTGGGTAGTAATTAGTTATTTTACAGGATAGCGTGACAGAGTTCCCGACTTCAGGAATAGTGGGATCACATTCAATTTCTGAAACTTGTGGATTAAGTACTGCAAATAAAATAGGAAAAAAGAAACAATATAAAATGATTAGTGAGTTGAAAGATACAGAACCAAAGTGTACACTTTCCATGAGGCTTCCACTGATTTATGAATTCACAGTGGACTTTTCCATAGAAGAGAGCACAGTGATTGGACAGAGGGAAGGGTTTAAAACACGTTTGAAAACAAGAATAAAAATGCACCCCAGCTGAGATTCAAAATAAAATAACTCTTCAAGGAAGAGCAACTTTTGGCTGTCAGAGACGAAGGTGTTACCTTCAGGAAAGTCTGTTCCATTCTCTGGTGCTTTTATTCTAATACGTTCAAAACAATTTCCCAGAAAACTCGTTTGGAGACTTTAACAGGCTGTATCTCTGTATGTCAATTTATAAATACCAAGCTGCATGGGTACCTACACATGCACAATTTCAGTTATAAATCTGGTATCAGAAAATCTGGTATTATGCTAACTTGAACAAAGTGCAGGGTTTTGAAGAACATCCTCAGGAAGTTTAGCATGTTGGAAAGATAACAGATCTAAGAATCTTACTCAGCAACAGGTCACATGAGCCTTGCCTTCAAGAGAAAACAACACATGTTAACCAGGGGCGGGCAATTATTTCAGGTGGAGGGCCGCTTACTGAGTTTTGACAAGACATCGAGAGCCACATGACAGGCAGCCAGGGCAGATAAATATTCATTTTCTAAATTTTTCAGCGGCCCTGCAGGCCAGATAGAATGGCCTGGAGGGCCACACGTGCATTCTGCATGCCCCTGCGTTAAACTGCAGTGTGGACAAGACAACTTATATTTTTAACACAGAACTAGTTGATGTAAACCCTGTTTTTTAGAACTACAATGGTCTTGCCTGCTCTGGAGCTTAATGGGTGTCAGGTACATGACAGAACAAGGAGCAATGGTCTTAAGTTGAAGCAAGGGAAGTTTAGATTGGATATTAGGAAAAAACTTTCTCACTAGGAGGGTGCTGAAGCACTGGAACAGGTTACCTAGAGAGGTGGTGGAATCTCCATCCTTCAAGGTCTTTAAGGCCTAGCTTGACTAAGCCCTGGCTGGAATGATATAGTTGGGGATGGTCCTGCTTTGAGTAGGGGGTTGGACTAGATGACCTCCTGAGAGCCTTTCCAAATCTAATTTTCAATGATTCTATATTTCTAATATGTTAACCTTTTCTGTTACCATGGACATGACATTCAGGTGAAATTCAGACATAAGCAGAACTTCACAAATATGAGACCTGTGCACTATTTAACTCTTCAAAATATGGTATCATTATTTCTATGCTTTGTGTTGGTTCTCTGAACAGGTGGCATTTTAGTGAGGACCACCTGCGTATTATCATATGACTCAGAGGAGGAGAAGGAGGATTGTATCTCTTAGAAGCAGCACATTTGTTTTGGTGAAGACGGTTAGTCAAATTCATTTCTATGAAAAGAAATTAAATAATGCTTTGGTACTTTAACTTACCCAGATTTTCCAGCTGCCAGGAAGATTCTTTATACAGGTGTGAGTTCCTATGTTTTGCTTTGCATGTGAATCTCTTTCCAACATCCTCAGCTTTAGGAACAATTGTTAAATTAGTGGTACAGAAAAAAAGCCCATCTGATCTCTTAGTCCCTTCACTAGTGACAGATTCTTCCAATGCTTGTTCATCTTTATACCACTGTAATTCAATTGTTTTAGGAAAAAAAGAATGAATTCTGCAGGTCAGAGTCAGGCGCTCATGAAGTTTTAGCTCATCAGTAGAACACAGCACCGGATCCAAATCTGGCTCAGCTAGAAAGGAAAATAATCAAAATCAGCTTTGAAAATATGATGGACAATCCATAACCCAATTCTAAAACTACTGAGGATTTCCTCTCAGGTACTGAACACTATCAGCTCCCATTAATGGGAATGGTGCATGCTGAGCCTCATATAAGAGGCCCTCTGACCTAAGTTCGTAGAGATCTGGAAACTACCAGGTATGTGTTTTGCACTATACTTTTGAAATATTTTTAATTTCACATTTTTCTGACATAAACAGCACTGCATACTGCTACTCGTAAGTTTGAGCAGAAATTTGCTTGACTGATGCAGTGCCTCTTGAGCTGCACCTAATATTCCTTTCTGCTACATAGTTGCTCAGTTTATGAAACCAAGACTAGGCATCATCTGCATTCTGGACCAAACTTTCTAAATTGTATGGACAGACAAAAATTAATTATCCTATAAAGAAGCTTGTATTTCTGCCTGCAAGGCACTAGCATAGGGAAAGTAATTATTAATTTAAAGGTAATACAAGTTGTTCCAGAACTAATTCTACTGTCTTCAGTAACACAGTAGAAAACATCTTTGGAATCTCAGAGCAAGCCAGAGAAGACACTGGATTCTGAGAAGAGGTGACAGATGTAAATCTTCATATTTCAGTTGAAAGGGCTGCTTTAATCATAAGAAAAAATTAAAATAGCAAATCTACATTTAAAAATTCCTGTATTATTAAATGTCTGGTCAAATACTTAGGAGTTTCCATCTAATGTTATACAATCTAATTTGAGCAAATATGAAAACATGCACCAGAATATCCTTAATATTATCAAATGTTCTGACATTGACACAACCTTTCCATGACTCCTATATAGAATATTTTTTCTGGCACCTCTAGGTTGATTTATCTCTCTTGTACTATCTTTAAATACACTTTACTCAAGGAAAACAAGGGCTAGGGTTAGCAAGGGTGTTACCAGCCAGTACTGAGATGCATTGACAAAGCTAAACTAGAAACCCACCTCTACTATACCTGCTTTACACCATTGCTACTAGTTTTTACGGTTAAAGAGCATCAAATAGTACAAAATATGACACACATGCACAAATACACCACATTGAAAGTTATATTATTCTAATATCATAAAAGCCTTCATCTGTCTATCTGTCTGTCTATAACGCTTTATTCGCACTCTGACTGGCTGACTGAAACAACTGATCGGAGTGCTCTAAGAGCATTTGGACAGGAGACAGCGCCGCAGAGCACCTCCAGGCCAGGGACATGGGACAGAGTGGGGTGGGAGGGAGCAGACAGAGTGGGAGTGAACAGGCCCGTTCCCCACCCCCCCAACCAGACGAGAAGTGGGGGTGGGGCCAGACGTGGAGGATGCAGAGCCGCCAGACCCTGACAAAGCTGGCAGGGGAGGCGAGCAGGAGTGGAAGACGTGGCGGGGGAGGAGGAGAGGCAAGGTGGCGGTCCCCTGCTGCTGCCACACCCCAACAACAGCCCTGAAAGGGGGAGGGGGGGATCAGGATCGGCCCCAAAGCACTGGGGGGTGAGGGTGGGGGGAGTGGGCCTGTTCGCCCCCTCTTCTGACAGGATGAGCAGCAGGGGTGGGGCTCAATGCAGGACTCTGTCCTCGCCTGCCATGACAGTGAGGAACACACTGCCGCTGCCACCGGGCCAGGACAAAAGCCAGCAGGGAGGGGAGTGGGGTACGGCGACAGCATGCCACTGCCACCACCACCACTGCCATGCCCTGCCAACAGCTGAGAGGGAGGTAGGGGAGCGAGGAGGGGAGGCAGGTGGACACAGGCTGAAGGACCCAGAGTGCAGGGGTTGGGGGAACGGGCCTGGACCAGAAGTGGCGGGGGAGGGAGGGAATGGGCCTGGACTCGGGGAGCAGAACCAGACCCAAAATGCAGTGGCTGGAAATGGACCTCTGTTCTCCCCACCCCAGTCATTCTTGATGGGCAATTGGCTAGTTTTATAATAAGGGCTGAATTATACCCTACCTGGGACAGGAAAAGGGAGGTATTTACAAAGTAGTTGCATGTCTCTGCACCTACTGAAATCAATGGTAAAGCCTCCTTTGACTTCAGTGTTCACTACCCCAGATCAATACAAGGGAGTGTGTTACAAAGTTCACTGTGGTCACTACGTTGCCATAGCATGTCACTACAGTGACACTGCATCACATGTAGACTTCCCCTTAGTGTATAAGGTGCATCTCTATCTTGCTTCCCTCCCCTTCATGTGCTGCAAAGTGGTTTGCTTACCTCTGACCTTCAGTAATGTCGTTTTTATAATGGGCCCCCTCTGAAGGGCCTCGTGACCAATTTCTAGTGAAAGCTCTGCCTGGTCATGCTCCTGAACATTTGGACAAACATAAATGGTCCATGAAACTTCAAAAGTGCCGTTATCATGTGACTGCAAATTGAACTGAAACTGAAAATCTCTGAACTTCTGCAAGAGAGCAGTTCCTTCACTGCTTTGTTTAGTGTCCTGTTGTATGCTGGTCCAGGAGTAAATTTTTTCTTTTTCTTGCTGATGTTTTTTAAGAAAAAAATCTAGCATTATACGTTTTGGACGAAAGCCAGAAATCTGGCAGTACAAAACAGAATTTTCCAAATGTTTCATTTCCACATTCCCTGTGAACGCTATTACGTTTGGTGGAACTGTAAGGAAAAACATAAATGTTAGTAAGTAGCTCAATACAGTAACTCAAGAATGAAAAAAGGAAACTGCTTGTTTTCTATATCTATACATTGCAGCAGTGCAATTATCAAAGTGAGCATTTTTAGCAGTACTGTCTTTATTCTTTTATTGCTGAACTGTGCAATTTCATTGCCTTACAGTTGTGTTCCTTCAATTGTTTTTCTTACTACAATCATTGAAATATACCTGACTATAGAATTTAGCTATTTTCAGTTTTCTATATTAATCTTGTATGTGAAAGATTAGTCAAGAGTTCTTTTTTGACCACAGCTCTTCCTTTGATATGTCTCAGTATTTTAATGATGTTAGTAATAAAAAGAGTTCATTACATTGAGTTTAAGTTAGTACCATTTACTAGTGGTGATGTGTTTGGGTGGGGTAATTTAGAATGATACTCTTTAATCACCTAACCAATAAAAGGCAACTTTTAAGAGTAAATCTTTTTGTGATGATATATGAATTCAGCACACTTTATTACTCAAAATTACTGCTTTTCCTTGTTACCACATTCTAGCTTATTTAAATGTTCAGGACAAGCACAGAATCACTCTGCCTCTCTTTTTCCTTAAAGGGCTTTGGGAACTTCTGAAGCATTTGGGGAAACTGGGGGTTTGGGTAAGTAGAGGAACAAGGGTTCTAATTTTGGATAACGTGGCTAGCCTTAATACAATTGCTAGGTGAGCAAAGAGCATCCTGATGCAATATTTTCTATTAGCTTCTCACTGAGATTTAGGCTTGAAATCTAAATGTTCACAAAACATTTTTTTATGAATTGGTAGTGAGGTGCAGCTTGAAAATTACTTACTTTTTTTAAAATACTTTTTGTATATGAAAAGTACCACTGCAATAATGAAGATGCAAACTAGTATGGTTCCAACACAGGTTCCAGCTAAAGTGCCCAGATCTGACTTGGGGGCTGTGAATGAAAAAAATTAAAGAACATTATGATTATGTTTTGCCTGCTTCCTTGTGTCAGACAAGGAACTTATTTGACTAAATCTTCCATGTAAATGGATAACTAGTTATTTAGATTTTAGTACAGGTCAAGCAAGCAGCTGCTGTGACTCAGGACAGGGTCAGGGTAGCTCATGTAGCAAGTAGAGAATGCATGGGGCAAGGGGAGAGTGGGGCAAGGAGGTACATAGTGCAGGGAGGAGCATGGGAGAAAAGGGGTGCATGGTGCAGGGGGGAATAAGGGGAAAGGGGGTTTGCAGTGCAGAGGAAAGCATGGAGAAAGGGACATACATTGCAGAGGGGGAGTGCAGGGGAAGGGAAATGAGAGCATAAAGGGGAGTCCAAAGAAGGGGATGGGGCTGGGGGGGAAGCACATGGAAGGGACATGTGATCAGTGTTGGGGGGAGTACAGGGACAGGGCCGTGAGGAAGCAGGGGTGAAAGGATGTGCAGAGTGAGGGAAATGAACGGAGAGATGTGTGCAGCATAGGGGAAGTGGAGCACAGAGCAAAGGCTGCTCCATGCTCCTGAGGGAGACAGAGCCAGAGCAGCTGCAAAGATAAGCAGGGGGGAGGGTGGGGCAGGCACCAGAGGGAGACAAGTGGCAGGAGGTGGACAAGGGCTGTGGGGCAGGTTACCTGTGCCGCAACTGCTGCTTTTCCTGCCACTACCTTCTCTGTGGCAGTCGTGGGGGAGATGAATTTAAGATGACCCTCCAATAACTAGATCTAGATGTGGAATATTATAACACATTTATAATTTTCCATGTTGAGAATCTAATTATTGGGGGGTTGTCTTATATTTGAGTAAATACAGTATCTGAAATGTGATAAGTTTAAGTAGAATCAAAATTATTTCTGGCTTTCATATTTCTAAAAGAATCAGAGAATAACTGCCAGCAGGAGAGGCCAAAGTGGTGGCTGTTCCCAATCCTGGACCTGCTACTGTTTGCCAGCCGCATTGTGTTAAATCAAATCACAATCACAATTACAAAATGCCTTCACCAGAGAGATTATTAAGGACGCTCACTTAAAATATGCATATTAGCAACAGTCCAAGGAATTAAAACAATAAAAATTTATAAGAGTAAAAGTACCTTTTCTTGAAAGACACCCCTGGATCAACTCAATAATCTCCCTGAGGCTCCAAAATGTTGTTTGTTCCACTGCCACAAAAACATGGAGCATCCCAAACAGCACTGATGTCACATTGACCCTTTCACTTTACAGAATTGGCTCTCAAGTGTCTCTGCTTTCCTTCCTCTCCTGATAAACAAGTCAAGTCAACCCCATGAGCACATCCAGGCGAGCATGCATGTGCAGTTTGTGGTGCCTCAAAGCTGTTTGGGGTGCTGCAAACCACATGCGGCACATGTGCACCTGTTCACCACACTGCTCATTTGCAGCACAGCACCAAAATTTGACACTGGGAGATCCTGGTGTCAAAAAAACCTGCTGCAAAAAAAAAAGCAGGACAGCACATTGAGCAGCAGCATGCACCACCAGAAACAGATCCTGGCTGTCCAGAGCCACGTTCTGGCTGCCAGAAAGGCTCCATGCAGACAGATCAACACTGCTGCTACCTTAGGAGGCCCCCAGGATCCTAGGTAAGGTTGCTAAGGCCAGCACAGTTTCTGGACCTAATCTCCTCTTCCCCACTGGGGACAACTTGCTGCATGCCGGAGCATGCCGTGGGGCACAAAGCAGTGGCACAAACATGTGCTGCTACTATTTGTGCTGCAGCAAACATGCACCCCTACACATGCACGCTCATCTGGACGTGCCACTTCTGAGTGCCACTGCATGGTCAGCTCTCCTGTTTGTTTCTCTCAAAGGACACCTACTATTGCTGCACCATGGGGATAACATAAGGTTGACATGATTCAACTTCCTAGAAAATGGGTCTAGCTGCAGTGTTCTGGAGCTGGTAACATTTTGACAGGAAAGAGAAAAGGATGCTGCAGGAATGCTTACCTGTCACAGTCAAGGTGGCATTGAGAAGTAAATTGTTTTGCAATGATTTGTGACTCACTATACACCTATAGACATTTCCACTATCTTGCAAAGATGGCTGCAGCCTTAATTTGCTGATGACATTAAACGTGCCATCTTCGTTTTCCACAGAAGTTCCTGTGCAGATATCTTCTCCTGTTACACCACCATCCTGATGATTCTTTGAAACCTTAACCCACCTAATGTTAAGTGAACTTGGATAGAAATTTTTTACTTCACATGACAGGGTCTTCTCTTTGTCACTTTCAGTTGTGACTTCTTCTGGGAACAGGTTGACAGCTGGCTGAGCTGCAGGGGGATAAGAATTAGATTGTAATCATCGTCATGAGTTCTCTGACATGTCAGTAGTTTTATTTTTGTACACAGGCGTTACAGAAATCTCAGATACCTGCAATGCTTAATCTTCATTGGAGCAGTGAGAGGATTTTTATGTTAGAATTTTTCTCACAAACATGAATACAGTAGGCAATAACATTTGGACTATAAATAGCATGCATTATCATTAGGATCCCAATGGTTTTGTTAGACTGTTCACTGTAAATAAATATTTGTGGAATGAATACAAGTATCAACCATAAGAATTAAAGGCTAAAAGCCCTTCCTGGTCAAAAGCTTAATGACAAACAGATTGTTTACATCAGCGGTGTCAAGCTGGCTGGCCCACAGGCCTTCTCAGGGTCTTAAAACACATCTCCAGATCCAGCCCCCAGATCCAGAAATTCAGTGATGTGGTGAACAGTGGCAGTGTTAACCCCCATGGCTTGCCAGGGGTGCTGTGTCAGCAGGGCCAGCACAACACTTCTGTGACATGCCCTGCCACCTAGTTCATGGTTTGGGATCCCTGTTGCGTATGCAGTTCTGTGGAAGCAGGGGGAATGGCAGCTGTCAGAGCCTACGGCCACTGGCCCTGCCACCACTGACCCTGGCCCTGCCACTAGAGGTGAGTCTTCTGGCTCAAAAAGTGCCCTGTTGTCTGTATCCAGCCCACAGGATGAAATTAGTTTGACACCCCCGGTTTAAAGTTATATTTCTGCTTGAAAGGGAAATGCTCGAATAGATAGAACTGTCAAGCTGTTGCAGTGGAAAAGGAGCTGCATCTTTTTCTAGCTGTGAAATGAAAGGTGGTCATAAATAGGGAAACACAGAGTCCAAGACATCTACGCTGCATCCCCACCACCAGGATTGGCATCACAACTTTCCCGTTTCCTTAGTTGTCCTAGAATGATCATACAGTTCTGATCCCTCCAAGATGCTTCTGATATAGCTTTTTTACTTTATGGATCCCTGTAGCCTAAAACAACAGAAAAACTAAAAATTACTTACCAACTACCTCCAAAACACCTGTGTCTTCAGCTGCAGAAGGTGTAACAGTTACTTTGCATTTGTATGTTCCTGCTTCCTTAAATTGTACTTTTGGTAGAAAAAGTGAAGCATTTCCCCTTATAAGCTCACCCATAGATATACTGGTTCCTAATCTATAAGAAGTAGACTTTCCAGCAAGAAACTGCAACAGCGTCTCTTCTTTGTCTGTGTTAGAAGTCTTCCGAGACCAAGTGACTCCCATTGCAGAGATATCCAGTACTGGTGTATCATACCCATGGATTTGGCATGCTATTGAGGTATTGTCATTCAGTGATGCAATCACAGGCTTAGTCTTCATGCTCACTGTAATGGTTCCTTCAAAAAAGAAAAATATGTAAGAAATACCTCCTACAAAAGGTCCTTTAAAGAAGGTATGTTTTACTTCCAGCTCCAAACAGCTGTGAATCTGTCAGCAAGATTCATTCATTTTCAAGCCATCTGTTTTCTTACTACATGTACTTTACTTTATGGTCTCATTGATTTTAAACTCCTTCAGGTCAGGGCCATCAATAATCCTTGGATTGGATTTCATCCAATGGAGAGATGCTACAAAACAGCACATGTTGAGGCAGGGGCAAATTATGAAACGTAATAGAGATTATATCACTCCATTAGTGTGCTTTATGCACTAGCAGGACTTGTACAGACCAAAGAAGCCTAGGGGTGGTCTCCAGAAGTTAACTAAGTAGGAGGTGAGACTGAGGAACTGATATTGGGTTAGCACTGATTAGGTATAGCCCCCTGATATGTATGATGGTGGGTTGGGTTCTATTTCTTCCCTACTCCCCTACCATAACATAGAGAAACTTTAAAAGAGCTGTCTTTTTTATTGCAACAATTGCATCTGACAGGCCTGAAACTGAACCATCTACCCAGGTAAATAATGAGGTGGAGAAATAGAGGGACACATTTTCCAAATATTTTAAAACACAGAAGTCCTGGCTCTGTCTGCCACCCGGCAGCAGATAGCTGTCAAGTTCTCCCCCAGAAACGAGGAAAGATCAGGATAGGCGAAGGGTTGCTCAGAGGGATAGGGAGTTGATTTACATGAGCTCTTCCTCTCCCCAATAGTTCCCAACCTTGCTTCTGTGAAGAAAACTCAAGACATTTCCACACTAAACCAGAAGTCCTGAGGCCTGATTTCTGAGGCAAGGAGGAGTTATGGCATTCATTCTTACCCATAACCACCCTGAGGACTTCATCTGGGAGAATAATTGGCACAGTATTTCCCGTTTACAAGTTTATTTAGTCTCAATGGCTGTCCTTACACATCCTCCGGGGTTGGGGTGGGGGAGGGGGTGCTTTAATTAGAGCAGCTCTTGGGAGCCACTCTAATTAAAGTGCCTGCAGCATCTCATATAGTCAGCATCTCACACTTCAAAATGACAGCAGGAGTGCTTTAACTGCAGGTTGTTTGATGTCCGGAGACATTGGGCACATGTCTAGGTACCTAACAGGTACAAATGAATTCCTTAAAAATAGTTCAGCTGGGATTTTCTCCCCAAAGGAACACGTAGGTTATTTTATGGCACTGGCATTGGTTTGTTTTGCACAGATTGAACTGAAGGTTTCTAGTGAGACTGAATATATAAAATTGATCTTTAGCATGTAAATGGCTATGGGTTTTTTATGGAAGCTGAAGAAAGACTTTAAAAGACTTTACTTATACACAGAAGTGTATATTTCTAATTGGGATCTTATTCTATTTAGTCTACACAGCTTTCCTCTTAGTAAAGAAACTGATGAGCGTTTTTAAAGATTAGAAGATACAATCAGGACAATCTGAATGTCGGGCTGCTCTCCTGGCTTTCTCTTGTTTCCACTGCTTAGGAAGTACTAACGGATGACACAGTAACAACAGCACAGTCGGGGCCCCTGTAAATGTGGCCTCAGACTTGAATTCACAGCCGTTTAGATGGCAGGACAGCGCCTCGGCCCGCAGGCCGCAGAACAGGCCAGTCTGGCGAGATCCTTTTGAGTTACGCGTCCACCCTCTGTGCTCCCGACCCTGCCCAGCTTGTGTGGTTCGCAAACTTGCTCGAGAATTGTTCTACACCGTAATCCTAATCATCACCCACCCTCGGCCCAGGATGGACCCGGGGGCTCCACTGGAGACGACCTGCCACAGGTCCCTTAGGACCGTATTTACATGAGGCTAAGACAAAGCCCCCCCGCCCGTAACATGGGGGAGCCCCTCATCTCAGAACTAAGTATGGGTGGGGGGCAGGTGGCCACTGCGGCTCCGGCTCCAGCCCCTCCCCAGGGCGTGGGCCCATGGCCACAGCTGCCACCCACCTCCTCCTGCCACCTCCGCCCCTCCTGCAGCCCCTTCTTCCCAGCTCCCCGTGCAAGCCCTGCTCCCCCCCCGCCCCTTGCCAG